GTTCTAATTATGTCATAAGCAAGGTGTCACTGAATATTGATACCTCCCTCAATGAAACGGTGGAATATTTCAACTGAGTTTTCTAGTATTTACTTAAAATGTTTGAATTGTAAAATTCTTTAATCACCTACACTTCTCTACGTTCATTTATTTCCTATCAAACTGTCTGTTTCCCACAAGGTAATTGTTATGTTTCAATGCACATTTTTTACACGCGTAAGCATGTCTTTTTGTATGTCTGTGTACATTGTATTACCTTTTGACTGCACGTTTGCACACCGGATATAATGATATATTAATTATGATATCAAAGTTTATGCAGTACTTGTATTAATATCTGATTATTTTCATGTACGCTTCTAAATTCATGATTTGATATACATTTAGACATCATTAAGCTTCCGTATTCAAAAAGAAAGAAATGAAACTATTATAGAATCACTCGCGAGTCAGTCTGTCCGTTTATCATAGCATTGAAACTATTAAATCCTTTAAATGTTTTAGTTTTAAATGCGTAAGTATACGTTCAAATTTTACAAAAGATATACTTATAAACCATTTTTTTTTGATGGAATAAATAAGATCCTTTGTAAACTCTTTCTTTGATATTCGTTATTATAATAATGACATAAACAATATAATAAGTAAATAAATAAATACATTTATCTATACAAAACTAATAGATTAAGTTTTGTATAGATAAATAAATTAACTTACTATTAATTTACTTTGTACAGATAAATAAACTTATATTACATATAATACATGACCTAATATAATAGTTAATAAGTAATAGTACAGCCTATTTTCCAATTTATATTAACATCCTAAATAAATAAGGAGTCGTTTTTGAGAATTCATTCAGAGAGCAATAAAATGTGTCTACATTTTCAGATATTTTATTAAGGGTTCGCAATGCGAGCGTCAGCGGGTATTTTTAAAAATGGTTAATAATACACATACATATACACATCACATTCGAATTCGATGACGAGCGCAGCGCTGTCAAAGTATGGAGGTTCACTCAAATATAATTTACTTCGAAAGGTTATAAAGGTTTAATTGAATCTTTGGAGTGTTGTGCGAATAGCCTAGTTGTATTCATAAATGCTAAGGTTAATTTTCTCGGATTATCAAATACTAGCTGTTTTCCCCAATTATATATTGCCTGTGCCTCCTGCATATAATGTAGTTTCCCGTATGTGAAAGAGTTTCCATGACCGGACCAGTATTTACGAAGATTATCCTTTACAAACAAACAAAGTGAGAAAATATTAGTACGGATTAAATATATTTTGTTTATATTTATATATTTTAAAAAATGTAAGCGTTTACTTGCAAAACATTTTTAAATCACGTGGGAGAGTGCCCACAACCTTGCTATCACACAAAATTATATCGTAATCTTTTTGTTTTAGTTTATATCCCTATCTATTCCCACGGCGTTGGTCAAGTTATATTTTATATTGTGTCTAGTAACCATTTAGTTTGTAAATCTTGAGTAAGATCTCGCTAACTTGATGTTTATCTTAATTCAATTACAAGACTGTATTGAACAAAATAAGTGATATGAAACTCTTTATTACACATTTATCGTGAGTCAAATTTTGATTAGATGAGGCAGTATAAGTCCAAATTGAGGGTATCACTTTTCACTTCTTCTCTGCCTCTTTTGGGTTTTCTTTTTTTCTGTTTGCTTTTAAATACTTTCCTCTTTATTTTCACTCTTCTGTGTCAATTCTGTGTCAGTGTCAACTTTATTTTCAGTCTTCATAATTATCTTTTGTTTCTTACTGTCTCATTATGTCCGACTTTTTTGGCAAATTAACAGAAGATGTAATCTATTAAAATTATTCTACGAAAATGCATATCTCTATCAATAGTTTAACACTGCTACAAGTTTACCGTAAATCATTATAAAACCATTTTTCCCTAACATAGTGGTAGTATAGCTGCATAGCCAAAACATGTGAATCCCATGAAAGGCGCTGTGTAAAACTCTGTTGTATTAAACCAGTCACGCATATAAGCACATTCCCTACCCCGAATTTCGTTTTGCTCAGGTCTTGCCAACCCGTTATTATAGAGATAATAAATAAAATGACGATCTTCTAATTTTGTAAAGCAAGAGAAGTGAACAATACTTTTAGCTATTTGAAAAATACATCAAAACAATAGTTAGCTAAAAATATATTGAAAAATGAAATATGATTTAATAACAAACCGCTGATTATGTATAAAATCTAATTAATTTTTCGTAATATAAAGAAATACTTAAGAATGCTACAGCCAAAGTCTGAGCTAAGGCAATGTTTTTTATAACGACCTTGATCACCCAAAAGCTGCAGCTTCTTACATAACTTGAACAGTGTGATATTGTTTAATATTTGTATTTTATGTGAGAGATAATTGTTAATAATAATTATAAGTTTTCAGAATAAAGTTCACAATAGCTTTCCGAGAATAAGCTCAAGGCTCATCTTGAAAGCTTAATAGCTAATTTTAACGCGACGCAATGACATTGTTGGGAAATTTAATTAAAAATTAAATTGTTGTATGTTGTAACGCGGCCGTAAGATGCAAGATTATTGTGATGGTTTGACTTTGAACTATCATAATATGTGGGAACTTGAAATATATAATTTTTTACTAGCTCCCTCCAACGGGTACTCTCGCGTGGTTTACACGCTCTTTTTGTTTTTATCGCCAAAATATAGGTATTATGCCATAAAATGCAATTATAAAAAAACTAAAAATAAATTTTTGTCATTAGAACTAGGCGTGGGAAGTGCTTAGGTATTTTAACTTTATAAAAGTCACCTTAATCCTGAATAACTCCTGAATTTATACCGACTTTATGAAGAGGAAAGATTTTTTTGTTTGCATTGCTTATGATCTGATACTAATGGGCTGGTTTTAATTATTCCTTCACCTACGGGAAGCTACTTATACATTATACGGGTACACGGGTGACATAGGTAGTCTATAATTTAAAAAGCAAAGTCGGGGGAGCTATATAGCTATATTTCCCTATTATTCTCTCTTTATAAAAAAAAATCTTTAGTTTTTGAATTTGCACAGCACCATCTTCAAGATTTACAATACAAAAAATTGCTTTCTTACACTTAATTGCATAAAGTTTCTTTAAGTTTTAATTACGACTTTAACCCATAGAGATAAAAGCTCTAATGAATGGTCTTTTGAAAAATTGTATTATTGCGCAACTGGGGTGCGTGACTTAATAAAAAATCGATAATCAAATTAAATTTCAATAAAAAAAGAATTTATAATCATATCAGTGTCGATCAAACTGTCATTTTGTGTAATCAAATCAGTGTATTGACCAACACATTAAAAGTCGCACACATTTTACATAATTGCAGATCAATTAAATAGAACAATTGTTTATTGGTCGATTCTGTTTTTCCTATGCCTTGTTCGAAGCCTTTGTTCTATTATTATGGTATAATTACGAACAGACAGACTTCACATGCGGCACATGTCTTATAATTAAGTAATGATTAAACCTTGGTATCTGATTAGATATGTTAATTGAAAGTTAAATTCGGATTCAATATAATTAATTAAGTCTAGGCTGTATACACTTGTGAAAGTGTATAACATATACAATCGTTGTTAATCAATAAAAAAAAAACAAGATATTTTTTTTTTGTAGTTATTACCTAAATAAAATAAACGAAATTTGATCACGTCACTGATCTCCGAAAATATTAGGTATTACATTGTGATAAAATACAGAAAATAGTTCTTTATGTATAGAGTAGTTGTATTTTACTCACTCCAAAGATATAAACACACACACACACAACACACACCACCATGCACCCAACACACACACTTAACACTTTAACAAGAGCGCTTTAAACTAACTATTAATTAATTAATTATAAAATATAAATTTAATTGTTTTTGCTAATTCATTCATGGAAATTTGATGAACAAAATTTATTATTATTGGTTCTTTTTTTTTTTTTCTTCTTTTTATTTTATTTTACTTTATTTTCTTTTGATTATCGAATGTAACGGTGTCTCGGTGATATTTGAGAGGTGGAGGATTGATACTCTCGAATACAGGATCTCGCCTAACGAGATGTACCGCCATAATCTAATTTTATTCTACATATTTAACCACTACATTTGTAATGATTATGGTGAGAAATAAATAAATTATTATTATTATTATTATTCCTAAAACTATGAAATCGCAGTTCCCCGCGAAAATTACAGCCTATATCACCCGTGTACTATGATGTAGCTTCCGTTAGGTGAAAGAATTTTTAAAATCGGTCCAGCAGGCCAATTCGGATAATGTTTGACGACCTCCGTAGCCGAGTGGTTCGCACGCCGGTTTCAAGGTGTCGCCATCTCTGAGGTCCCGGGTTAGATTCCTGGACGGGTCAATGTAGAAAAATAACTTTCACCCTGGAATCTGAGCAACGTATGTGAAATATCACATAATTAAAATGAATTTTAGACAATAGTATAATATTCATTTTATTAACAAATTAATAACAAAAAATAATCGCATTTCAATAGAATCTCAACTACTTACATTTTGACATTCCGGAAGTCGAATATTATTAGTGCTATGTCTTCATAACAAATCAATGGTGATAGATATATATTAATATTTTACCTCAGGTTGATAGCACAATGTAGTACTTGAGATTCTATTGAAATGGGATCATTACGTAAACATTAATAGAAATATTAGGTCATATATTACCTATATTGTAGGAAAATCTATTAGAATTCTATGATTTTAAAACTTTAGTAATGCGGAATCCTCAGCATGATAGTCTAATTAGCATTTAGTCGATTTTTCTTTCATTTTGTTCGAATTCCGTTGACTGCTTGTCTTATTTAAATCATACATACATTTCTTGTAGTAATATGTATATAAATAACAAATATCTTCTTCTGTTTGTTACAGGTTTCACGAGAACCCGTTATTTAGGCGTATCACAGATTTTTAAACAATGTCACAGAAAAGGTTTTGCGGTCTTCGATTGGGTGCTGTAGGATGTGTTATGGGAATAATATTCTTCTTAATAGACAGAAGCATAGCTGTAAGTAATAATATAATATTATGCCAATCATTAATGGCATCATAACCCTAAAATATGATTTAGATAAGGTTAGATAAAGACCAAAGATGTTACAATAAAGTTTCGATGTAGTGAAATATCAATTTTCTATATTGATCCGCTTTTTTGTATTTTGTTACAAAATTAGCCTCGAACCCGAAGTCTTGTCTGTCATATTATAGGAGAGCGACTGCCCAAAGTTCTCGCTATAACTCTAGCCATATCTATGACTACGGTGTTCTGATTTTATCAGTTAATAATTTTATATTATTTTTACCCGATTACGGCGGCGAAGCGAAAAGGATGGTAATGATTTTGGCAGGTAAAATGTATGTGTGTAAGAATGTTCATCTGTTCCCTTATCACTTTGAAACTACTCATCGTAAATGGACAAATGCCATATTATTAGAAGAATCTTAGCTGTCCGCGTGCTATAGGCTGTGTAACGTTACATTAAAGCATAAACTAAGAAACTAAAAAAATATATATATATTATTCAATCATTCCGCGGAGGGTATCAGATAAAAGGGCTTAGCAAATACACGAAAATTAATTAAATAAAAAAATAAGTTCAAAAACCAATAACCGGCTACAGATAAATCACGCTCTTAAAAGTTTAAAACAAGAAATTTATTTAATAGCTATAGCTATATTATAATACCGATGACCAAAGGACAGGGAAGCGTAATGAATTGGTTGTAGTAGTGTAATAAATATTAAGTTAGACTAAATAAAAAAAAATAAGTCAACTAATAACTCTAAAATATAAACAGAATTATTGATAAAATCAATAAAACATTTTTTTTTTGCTATAGTTATAGAAAAAGAGTTTGGTGGTCGCTCTTCTTCAATGAAATATTACCTTAATTCCCCTTGGGTAGCTTGTATTTGATTGAACCTTCGTGCTGTGCTCGACGTGTAGTTTAATACTGATTACTTTACTGAATAGTAATGCAATAACACTTAATACTATAGGGCATTCAATTTTGACATTGATTGCGATCAAAAAACTTAGAAAGGTGTGAAATTAAATCGCTAATAACGAAAATTTGACAGATGAACTCGACGTATGTTTACTTTTTGAAACTTGAAATAATCATTGTTACCAACATTTTCATTTAAATTCTTTTATGCAACCAACTTGTGGATAAGTTTACGCGCCTAGTATAACTGACAATGATTCAGTGGAATTTTACATTTGCAGTATTATAGATATTTTTATTGTTACGACAATTACAAAAAACATGCTACTACCAAATCGATATTAACAATATGAATTAATGATGTATACTAAACAACTGGCTATGAAGTCACTTACCAATTAAAAACTATCATCTTACAATTATTTATTGTCATTTTAAAGTAATAATATTATCATTTTATTTATTTATTAAGTCTGCAATCGCAAATGTTACCGATATTGCAAATTTTAGATGTTCTGAATGATTCCGAGATGAATGATAAAGTCTATATTCCTAAGTAATACTAGCTAATTATAAGATTATTTGATTAACAATATAATTATCTGATAATCAAGATATAATTATGATTCCAATAAATTACTCTGTAATTGATGCAGGTGACTTTTAATCTATTCGAGCACGGAATTTTCTGTTGTGAGTAATACAAAAAAATAACCAGTTCTAAATAAAAAAGGAGATAATTATTGTTTTGCGTGAAAGAAGACAAACAAGGATTATTATTTTGAAAAGACGTATAATAATTCATTGGTCTCATTATTGAAAAAATGCAAGGGAATCTTATTCTTACTGCCTTCATTTTAAATGTATTTTTTGTGTTCTCTCTACAACACTATTTATGAATATTCTGAATAATATTTTTTCAGGCTTTAGATGGCTATGCTCCTGGAGAAGACTACCCCATTTATACTGAAGTACCCAATGGCTTGTCATTTACATGTGATGATAAAATACCTGGTTACTACGCTGACCCAGAGACCATGTGCCAGGTAATATTATAATAATAATATTTTACATTAACCTCAGTCTCATAATGACCTTAATACTGGGGCATAAGCCTCCTCCATATTGGTTCTATTCTGCTTCACTGGATGGTTGGGCTAGTTAACCGGGTGACTACCCTCGGGTTCCCGGGTACTATTCTCAACCGAGAGCATGCTCAGGGTTTTTGGTGGGTACCTTCACTGAGTAGCTTCGTTAGCGGAGAGTCCCACACAGCCCTCGCCATCACGTCGGTGGATAATGACAATGATAAATAATGATAAAGGGATAATGCGTTACCCGTTTTGCTGGGGCAAAAGCAGCTAAATATGGATGAAGTTAAATATGGAAAAGGGTCAGGGATCAACGCGATATTGTTCGTTCATTATGGACGGCGGAGCTTGATATAGTACTTAAAGATTTGGTCAACCATAATTTTTTCGTTAAAGGACCGAAACTGAATTTTCACGATCGTTGAAACGCGACGCATTTTGCTTTGGTTATGCATAAAAGAGGGTTCATTAAAGTGTTGTGCTTGTGACATTTCAGGTGTGGCATTGGTGCGTTCCCGGTATTGGCGGCAACACGATGTACTCTTTCATCTGTGCCCCTGGTACTGTATTCAACCAGAGATCGAGGGTGTGCGATTGGTTCTTTAAGGTTTGTTTATTTTATAAGTTATTTTTATGAAATATGGGTTTTTTTATCTCATAAAATGTATACAACATAGATATTTCAAAACAAACTTGTTGTTCAAAATAAAATTTCAAACTTTATACATATATAACATTTTAAAGTTTGGAAGCAATGATGATGTTAACTACATTACTATTATAATTTGCCAGGCGTTTTATACTTTTTGAAGAATAAATTTTAATATTGCCTCTAGTGAGAACAATATAAATCAGATACCGACTATTTTTTATTTGTTGACGAATCAAATATAGTTTATTTTAAAAAAATATTTTTTTGCTTCTTATTCTAAAAAAAAGATAATAATCTAATATTGCTTTATCATTTCAGGTGGATTGTCCCAATGCGCCTTCTGACTATGGAATTAATAATGACCTTTACAAAGATGAGGAAGGCAACTTTATTGCTGGGAAAAAGTAGATATAAATATCGATTATAATAAATAGTGTTTGATACACATATCAAATGTACAAAAATGCATGCGGTAACTGTAAAATAGAGTCAGTAGAGATTTAAGAAAGGTAACATGTCTACACTGGTTGTCAATAGTTCAAAAATGATGTGTTAAGTTCCAATTAATTTGGTGTATGGTGGATCTTAGTATGCGCAGAGCAGCAGAGTGATTCCGTTAAAAGTCGAAATCTTATTCGAACTTACATTGTTACGGCACACAAAATTTTTGTCACCACACCTTTACTTCGACAATAAAGACGAAACCAGTTTTTATACATAATGTGATCGGATACTGTTCCAACCATGTTTTATACTTATAATCCCATTGTTGTCATGTATGTTTCAGTAGTTATTTTTATACCAATTGTAGTTTTTCAATTTCCCTATTAATTTCTATCCGCAAAAAAACTTTGGATTTCATTTTTTTAAGCTTTCGAAGTGTAGAAGTGAAAGAATTATAAATTGATAAAGATAAAGCGACTAAGACTAATAGTAAATAGTTTCATCAAACCTGAAAAAAGTAAAGCAACTCAAATAAGAGGTAAATTCACAAAATACTTACAAAAAGATTTTTTTACTTTTCTATTTTTATATATAAACCAAGATTTTATTGAGGTAACTGTTATACTGAAGTGTTTACTAATATAAAATAAAACAAATGAATAATGCCAGTAATTGTTTTTGTATACCGTCGTAATTTATTTCGTAAAAACCTGAAAATTGATAGTATAGGGATAGGGGGCAATTCATGGAGCAGTTATAAATTATTTCATATGTATGCGTCATTTATTTTTCTCTACTTTTAAAAATATATAAATTTAACTATTCCATTACATAATTGTTTTGAAGGTTAGGGAAGACAATGAATGCGTTTATGAATAGTTAAAAATTACCCCATGTTGTAAACTGCCCTTATTTCCATAAAATGTATTCATACTTTTAATGATATATGTGAGTCAAGAACAGGACTTTTAAACTGGTATCTTAGTTTTTAATGTGCTTCAGCTTCAAGGTGTAAGGTATGCAAATTGAAAAAAATTTTTTAATTTTAAATATTATCGCATTATCGGAATATGATATAAAGGATTATAGCATACTGATATTTGTAATTGAAACAGAACTCATAAAATGGCGACACGTTTTAATTGTTAAAGTTACTACAAAATTTGTCAACTTCATATTCGATGATAAAAAAGTGTAAAAGTGAGACCAATTTATAAATATACATTATTAATTTTTCATAAGGTAGTGTCTAATCTGAAAATAAACCCAATAATATAACATACGTATAAAGATTACCATGTTATAATAATTTTGCATTCAATATGCTATACTTAAAAATATTTTTCATTATACGAATCAAAAAAATAATTTGCGGAGTTGATTTTCTTTGTTGTCTGTACTAAAGTGGCAGCTAATCCATGAAGTTGGTAGCAAACCTGATCCTATTCTCATGTGGCTCGCGTAATATTAATATTTCTGCTTAGAATAATATTTATCTCTGTTTCAAAGATCAGTATTAAAAGGATAATATTTGAGAGAAAAACAGTAAATTTGTGACCCTACATATTCTAAATCACATCAAGAACTGTAGTACTCTACTCTAATTTTGATGTAATTTAAGCAGAAGCGTTTTTCAAAGAAAAAAGTACATCAAAGCCTGCCTAGGCTTAAGTAGTTAATAAAAATTACCAGCATTTCCTTCATTATCAGCTTAACAGAGATCGTAAATATCGGAGTATTAATCTGACATTCCATTATAACTGATGAAGAATTTGTATTTTGTATCTGTATTTTTAGCAATTTAGTCTGTACAATAATTAGTTACCGATAAAGTAGTCATGTTTTGTAATGTAAATAGATTGATAATGAACTTATATGAATATTAAATACAAAATACAGATAATTTAATTTCTCAGCATAAAAACTCTACGTGTTATTTTTTTTCCAAGAAGCTTTAATTTGAAGTAAAAAGAAATCATTCATTTTCGTAATTTATATAATAAATGATGAAATTAATGATAATAAATGAGAAAGTGAGTCTTCACTTTATTAGACGACATTTTTTTTTAAATGGGAAATCAAAAATATAATCACAAGTATCTTACCTGGAGAAAAATTAATTAAACAATTAATGTCAATTTACCCATTTCAACGAAAAAAAGAATAAATCTCTAGTAAGAATCTAAATAAGTTCAGTTATACCATGTTTCTTTAGGAAAGTTCATAAAATATATTATCAATGTAGAAATTTAATGAACCAACATAAGTACAAACATTACAATGTATATAATAATTAATATATAAGAAATAATGGTGTAAATCCTGGAAATATACAAACTTAATCATAATATTTTCTTTCGTCTTTATTTATCATACCTCTCTTGCTTGAAAACTTTCGCACTCATACTTTTTTGACTTGCAACACCGCTATATAAAAATATTACTTTAACGAACGCATTTATATATAACTAGCTTTCCGTCTGCGGCTTTGCTCGTGTGGTGCTGTATTATACATATAAATTTTCTTCTTAAATCACTCTTCATTTGATGAAAAACGCCATTACAATTCATTGTGTAGTTCAAAAAATCTCACAGCGAGAAATGCTTTGTTAGAAATTAGTCGGGGAAAGTCCTTAGCATAGAGTTTTCTTTGTAATAAAACTTCTTGGGCTATACCATAGGCTGTACTATTTATACCTGTTTGGTTTTGATGACATTATTAAAGAGGTTAAAAAAAGATTCTAACTCCCAGTTGTACAAACCCATAGAGTAAGTAATAAACTACTGTTTTACAAACCAAGGGGTAATGACAACTTTAAGCTCTAATGAATATTCCAAATATGAAATTTTGTTTCAGTATGTAATGCCGCTAACCAATGTATGTCAATAATCAATACTATTTGTACGAATCAACATGACACCTGCATATTTGTCCGAAAACGAAATTTTGTATATTTTTGTGTATTTTCGAAATGCTAATACGGCTCCAAAAAAAACATTTTTCGATAATTTATGATGCAACGGAGTTAAAATCAGACACTGTCTCTGATGCTAAAATAATCTTCACGCTTATGATTTTGACAAAATTATAAGAACGATTTGATTTTCCGAATTTTCCGTTCGAGGAAAATAGAATGGGTCCTCAGGTGACATATTAATTTGTAAGAGTTATAATATATTTCGTTTGTTTTCTTTGTTTCACACACTAACGAAGACATGTATTACAACAAACAACATTAGAAATATTATAAAATGTTATTATAAAAATTAATATGACATAATAATAACAATAATTAAGGCTCATTTTTAGTACAAAAAGAAAAAATGAAGAAGCTTATAAACCTAACGCTTTGTCAGTAAGAATAGCACAAAGTTAAGTCTGCGATTGCGCCAAGTTTACTATTATTATATCTACACTGCAAATATTTTAAAGGACAAAGCAATTTGTACAAAAATTAAATTATTATTGTGTAAGGTTAGGCCGCATCTGCCAGCACCTTATTCTCTTTTTATGTCATCCTGTTCTAATATCGTTTAAAACCGCCTTTGGCTAGAGCAGTAAAGATAGTAAACGTCACTTTAAACAGATTTATTTGCTCCCTTTTCCAATCTAAGCGGTAATTTAATATTTCTCAATCTAGAAAATTGCAGTTTAAAACAATAGAGAAGAACATAGCGACAAATAAAGAGAATAATCCGTAGCGATGGATAAAGTCGACACTGTGCTACAAGAATATGTAGTTAAACTCTAATTATAAAAATCATATTAATTATTTTATTTGTACACTTCTAGTCACACTTGTATATGAATACACCGTCTTCCCAATGCATTAAGTTCACATTCACACTGGGAAACAGATGTGATTTTAATTATGATATTTTCCAGATATTATTCATCACAAGCAGAATTTAATAGAAGACGATTGGAGGCACGAAGAAAGAGACAACAGTCGGCAAAAAGACCAATTAGTTATACCATATGGTAATAATTAATATTAAATAATATGGTAAACTTAAATATTGTCTTTTTTTTCTTTTCTAAGTTTTTATTATTCTTTCTGTTATATAGAATTAATTGATGTGATTCAAGTCTTGCAAGCTTTTGACTCACTTTCGGGTTTTTGGTTGAAATGAACTTTTAATATTAAATTGGAACGGATTGGAGCACAGAGACTGAAGGTAGCCATGGGACCTATGTATTTAACAAAACAACATCGTCTCATTTCGATTTTTCTATACAAGATCTCTGTTGATACCCGATAAAAGCTTGTTTAAAATGTCCCAAAAAATATCATCTCACACAATTTCGCGCTTCGAAAGATACATTAAGATACAAAGATATATTACAGTTGGCACCTAACAATCCGCACTGGGGTCTAATTGTCTAATTTTAAATGTATCGCGTTCCTTTTAAATTCGACATTTGACAACTATTTTCGAGCGATCGCGACGTTTTTTTTGAAAAATATTGAATTAATGAAATCGTTACTTTGAAGTTAATTAAAATTATCTAAGGCCAACGTTAGACGCAAATAATACTATAAGTTACTAAGTTTTAATTATTTTTCATGTTCGTTCAATCTAATTTTAAATGTTACATAATTCCATAAGTCCTTATCACCATCACTATATCATTAAAAGGGATTACCATAGATATCGAATTTAGACAATTAGCTCACTGGTACTATAGTTAGTCCTAGTTTTATATTATTAAGAATTAGTTTTAAAATGCTTAAAGAGGTAAATTTTGAACATTATTTCTTTGTATGTGAAGCTACGTCAGACGCGAGCCTTTAAATTACGAAAATGTAAAGTCGGAGGAAAACAACTAGTACAGTATGAGACGGTCTAAATGTTAATCTACTATCTCATTTCATTTACAGCGCATTTTCTTCAGCTAGTCACTCTGTACTTTGCAGCACTTCAGTCATATGTTTTAGTACGATTCTGTTACACGTAAGTACATTTGAACTAAGGTTTCGTTTTTACGTTTTACGGAATTCTATCGGAGTCACATATCCAAAAAATACATAAATATATAGCAGGGACAGTGGATGTAAGGCAGACATCAAACTCATAATCTGATGATTATGAGTAATCTGAATAATCAACATTATATCACTATCTGCTTATAAATAAAGAGTGGCCATTTTAAACAGTAATAACTAGATATATATTTGGATTCATAAATTAAAAAAGATAAGTAATAGAATTCTGAGTCTGGCATTTCAAGGGAGCAATAAGAAGACTTCTTACTTGAGTATCAAAATAAATAAAAAATCCGAGCTTTCCTTATTGTTTCTGGCAGTTCTGGGTTAGACTTTCGTCTTTGACGTCTGTGTTTTTTAAAGATAGGGATATATAGAGGAACTGCAGCATATTTGGAATACCAGTTGGTTTTTGAGAATTAATTTAAAGAATAATAGGATAGCTCAATAAAAAATACGTTTATTACTTGGAAAACTATGAAACTTTAATATTTATAACTGTCATAAAGAACAAAAGTCAGGAACCTTATCAATAAACAAAAAGAACTAAAAATTAGAAATTATGTAAATGGACTTAGAAGGCAGGTAATTTGGAATATAGCATTACAAATTAAATTCACTTTATATTGTATACTTATATATATTATTATCTATATATATTTTAACAATTATATGTTTTATTAACATACTGTAAACATTTAATCTTAAAAACTAATAAATTTCTATTCTTTGTAACAGTTCACGTGTAGTATCCCAAATTAACAACATACCATCCTAACCTAAAACGGCATATCACATTTTCAATTTTAGAAATATTCACAAATTCAAAGTTAAATGATTAACTAAAAAGGTCGCATAACAGTTTGCACTTAATATTTTATGTTTGAGAGTAAATAATTATCGTTGTTTGCATACTTACCAAAAAAGTTTTGAAATCTGTCGTCTTGTTCCGTCGGAGCTGGTAGTCGGAATGTCAAAATAGTGTCCTGTTTTAATGCTATATGTCGTAGTGTGTCTTACGACGTTATGTTTACGGTAAAAAAGCATAGATGCTGTAAATATTTATTTAGATACCGTAGTATTTTTACCCGCAGTATCCCAAATATGCTGCAGTTCCTCTACATTATTGGAAACATATAAAATGTATCCTGGTCTTATCTTGGTAAACACGACTAAAGAAAAATATCCAATGATGAGTTCAAAGGTAAGGAAAATGAGTGGACGCGTAGCTTTGAACTTTTATTTATATTAGAAATTATTGAATATATAAAATAAGCATATTGTCGTTATTTTTAAAATTCTAAATCTGTATAAAATGGCGCCAAAACCGCAAAAGGACATCTTGAAAATCAGCCGGTCATTTGTGTCTATGCTTTGCTGATGTGACACAGGCTTTTAGCCATCAAATGCATTCTGTGAGCGTCGCATCGACATACCTATGTTCATAGTTGGTTTTGCGTGTATGGGTGTAATATGCATATATAAAGCTTGGTGCAGAACGTCAACATCGTTTTCTAGTGACTGTTTCAGATGTCAATATGTACATACATATAGGTAGGTACTCGAACTATTTTTAATATATTGAAGCGTGTTCTGTTTCTTAACATCATTTGAAATTTGAAGTAATTCTTGAGCTGATTTTTACGATATTTTTTTATTTGCAAATTTCGATGATTAATGTAGTGACATTTCAACTAAATAGATTTATCATTACATTACAAAGACATCCTAATACTTCCCGTTAGTTGAATTATTTAGGGAATTAAAATTATATTGCTAATATTTTACTTAAATAGAATACCTAAATATTGCTTGTCTCAGAAATCAAACCTAAACAACATATTTCATTTAAATTTCAGCAAGTAAAAATTTAAAGAAACTTACTATTTCACTGACACTGTTTTTTTACGTGTTATTATATAAATGTCATCTGTCCTATACATCAATTACAACGATTCCATTCCTTTATTAGTCTTAAGGACCCAGGAAAAAATATTCTAAAGGAGTTATTCATAAAATGTCGTGATAATTTTTTAAGGGCAACAAATTTTTAGCGTTATTCAGTTTTTAAGTTTTAAATTACCAGATAACATAAAAACATTGGCTTTTGGTTAATGTGTCACATTTGGATTTTTTTGGTATACATATATCAAAAACGTTTATATCCTACTCACTGGAATGACTAGATAAAGGGAGCTTCTGAGAGTCTGCCATTGTCCAGTGTACTCACTACACTATTAACCGGTAGAGGGAGAGATGTATCGTTCTGATGGCTGTTCTCGGGAAAATCGATGAGGATTTTAAAATCGTCTCTTATCTTATCAAGGCGACCACTCTGCCCGAGTAAGAAGAAAAGATCAAATGTAATATTATAAAGAGATTAAGTTTCTAACTTTGTATAATTGTTTACGGGAGGTAATTTCGGAAATGCTGTAAATTCATTCACCAATAGGCTCATTTCATTCACCAAGCTACATCAGACGTGGCTCACATAGGCTTTAATTTCCTTGGTCGAAATTGCATGAAAATAGATAATGTATAATAATAAATACTATGTACAGAGCGAGTTAGTGTACTCACGTCACAAATCTACACCTTTTCTTCTCAATTCCAACTTTTTCTAGCCCATCCTTAGTAAAAAGACAGCTGTTTAAGATCAATAAAAAGTATTGTAAAATATCTGTTTCACAATAAAACTAGAAAAGTGTTTCAATAATAAAAAAATGGGAAATCCGATTACAAATCACATCCTTTTTTAGATCATTACATCGATTAATGTTTAATTTATCTAAAAAGCCGACGGTGATTAGTAACGCACCAAATTTTGCGGAAACAATGATAGAAAAAATCGATACTCAATTTGTTTTGTAACATTTAGTCTACACTATGCTTTACTTTTCATCACTTGAATACGCCGCAAGCTAACTGGCAGTCTGGTACTTACATTCGCCGCGAACGGTCGGCGCGGTGAAATAAAAAAGTAAAAAGCAGAACGCGTGTGTTTCTAACGCCGAAAAAAAAAGAAAAATTCATCCCGATAAATTCCAAAGTGAGTTTAGTGTTGTGCCAGTAATTCGATACAGACGCTGTGTTCTTTTTCGAATTAAATTTATTTTTTTTAGTTTATACAGTCATTATGCAACTCTTTTCGTAACTTTTTCGAGTTATACCTGTTTTCGATAATCGGGTCATAGAGACACGATCGGTTATTACATCTATTTCATAAGCTATAAGGTCGATTGTTGCGTTTTGCAATTATCATTTGCGGTCAATTCGGAGTGAATTTTTTATTTCGCGATCTTTATTGCATTTATTTTGATTGCATAATAGAAAGCAGGCTTTATTTTGCATATATTATCAAAGATATATATGCAAATATGTTTTCGCTTGCATTTTAAATTATTACTTAATATTATTTTTATAATGTAAACATTAGTATTAGATTTTGCACATAACAAATATTGGTTACAATATTTTTATTAAATAGGAAGACTTCTTGCATTTATCAAATAAAACATAGTTAATTTGCCTTATCTCTTATCTATAAATATCCATTATCAAAATATATTTACTCAAAGGAATATACATTTCTTTAAAAAGGGTATAAAAATATAAAATACAGATTAATTTAAAATCGATGCAAATACATGTTCTAGACTATGCAATAAAAACCAATTAAGCGAGACCCGCCGTGCAATATTCAATGCTAACACCACCGTATTCTAGTTATACTAGTTTAATAACCAGTATAACCAGACCTATTTACTAGTACATAAAACTTGACGCCACAGGTCAATTCGAATTGGGGCAATCTTCAAATATAAGTGGAGCTCTCGGGTAGTACTAGTTGACGGTGATAGCGGGTCAATAATGTTTGGATGTATTTGTGATACTTTCACCATTTAAGGCCGCCCATTCATAATAGATACTGTTGTGTTATGTGATTATATTTATATTTTTTGTTATAATAATCGACCTCGGTTGCAACATTGTGGATTTAATATCAGGTATGTCTATTTTTATTAAAATATTGTAGTAACTAGCGGTCGTACTTTGCACGGGTAAAAAAATCTTGCAGTACAATTTTTGTAAATTATCTTTTGTACAAACCTTGACCTGATAATAAAATGTAGACCAAAAAAACTATCTAATTTAGAGTAGTCGTTCTGGAGTTATACGCGTAAATAAATATCGATGTTTTATTTTTATTTATATACATATGCGAAAGTAATATATGCTTAATTGTTTCATGCTTAAACAACTGAACAGATTTCTTTGAAATTTGGAGAGGTAATGTAGAGATCCTGGAAAGGTTACAACAATTGTTTTTAAACTCGAATTTCATCTTTAGAACGGGTGAAAAAAGGGATAAATATTTCTATGTAGACTCTCTTTTGTTCACAATTTTATTAATTATAATATAAAACGACACAAAATTTGCAAGGTCAACTAGGGAACATAGGGAATATGTTCGTATTCCTGTATGCAATAAATAAACTGAAAATATCGTATAGGTAGATTTATCTTGTAAAATGATATATTATAGGTATAAACCTAAACAGACCACTTTAAGTAATAAATTATAGTATAGATACATTGCTTCCATTTAAAAGACATCAACGCGTTACAAGTAACGCGATACATTTAATTTATTTTTAAGTTTCAATAACAAGAAATATACAAATACGAAATGTCAATAAATAACTATCCGAATGCTAAGAAAATTATTAATAATAAAAAAAAAATATTGAAAAGTTTTTAAAATACAATTGTAACAGAAAAATACTTTATAATTTCATTTCAAGCACCTGATACACAGGTTTTTAAATTTGTTGATATAAAACTAATAATAATAAAACGTTGTTTGTATAAAATCTATCAAAATATATTTGAATTAATAATTATTTACTTACTTTATGACCATTATTAGCAATAATAACTCTGATGGTGTTAGTCTATAAAACATTTGTAGAGGTAGAAACAAGATGACGCTAGAGACGGTAGCTTTCGAACACATTGAGGTAATAAAACCTTTCATATCTATCAATCATCATCAGCCTGTCCCCACTTCTGGAGCTCAGTCCCTATGAATGGAATCGAATAATATGATATAGGGAGAACGAGCCATGACCCATCATGCGAGCCCAGTGCGTGTTGGTAATCATTAAAGGCTGCAGATCCAGCCGAAACCAACAGCACCTTCCTTCCCAAGTACCTTCTGAAACCGGAGGATCTCGATATAATTTTTCGTCACCCATCCTGCCCTAGTGGAAATTGCTTAACAACTATATCACAGAACCAACGCGCTAATCACTGCGCCATCGAGATCCTCCATTGTGTTTGTGCCCAGTCTTAAATATACTAAGTGCCGAAAATATAATAATAATGCAATCGCATTACTTTGTGTTTTTTTTCTAACTAAAACCAATAAATTAGGTTTACATAATTCAGATTTTAAAATTAGCTTTCTGTGAATAAATATTTAAACAAATTGAAGTCTATAAAAAACTGGAGGTTTCATCTTAATAGACTAGGCTTTCACCCGACCTTGCCCGGTTTAATTTTGTCACCCATTGCGCCAGATGTTACACAATTATTATTACGTAAATATACGAGTATAAGTCAGGTCTGTTTGACAATATCGATTCGCAATGAGTAGTGGTGACAGAATAATGACAAGAGATTGGATAAAGAAATATATATGATTAGATGTGCCCAGTGGTATTGTCCGCCATTGTTTAGCTAAGAAAGTTTTCAACATAATTTTAAATAGCCTCTATAATAAATTATATCACTTTCTACTTCGGCTGAAATATACTCTCAGGTATAAATGTTTTTTTTAAGTGTTAATTATATTACGAGTATATATCTATAAATGTAAATTTAAGATATTCAATTCTTCTTAGATTTCAATTTTCGTATTGTATAAGTATCTATATGATTTAGTTTTATGATTAGTTAGAGAGTGAATGTTGTGATGACGGCTACCCTGTGATTATTTATAAATCTAAACCCGAATTTGAATTCACTCCGATATCCGAGTTCACTTTAAAAAGCGACATCCGCTCAACCTTGAATTGGTAATAACGTTTCGTGGCATAAGTGAAGTGAGTTTCGAAATGACAAAGGAATAGAATATCTGAGACACGTACATATTTTCGATCAATTTTGTTTTGTATTTTTATACGAAAAATGGAAACAAAAGAAATCCTACACTAAATGACGTGAATTCGAATTCGGATTTGATTTTTTACAGAATTACAAATTGGGAAAATGGCAAGCAATTGATAAAGTTCTGAATACTTAATAATTGTTTCACTGATTTTCTCCCACCCATATGTGAGTTTTTCAAATAACTCAAATTAAGTTTTTTAGTTTAAACTTCTTGAACCATAAATCTTATTTTTGTTATTTTCACATAAAGCAAATATCAAATAACAATGTGAATGATGCTAAAATATTCAGTTTTCGAGCTTTAAAACTGGTCTGCGTATCATTCGAACGCGACTTCATCCCGTTTTCCATTATTTCTTCGCTCCTAATAGTTGCAACGTGATGTTATATAGCCTAAAGCCTTCCTCGATAAATGGTCTATTCAACACAAAAAGAATTTTTCAATTCGAACCAGTAATTCCTGAGATTAGCGCGTTCAAACTAACAAACAAACTCTTCAGCTTCATAATATTAGTATAGATAATTGTTATTAATTATTAAAAATGATTGTTTTGTGTGTTAAAAGTTATATTAACATGATTAATTATGAATTTCACGCACAAAAAATGCTCTTGACTACCAGCGTTGACGTAAAGTGATTAACACTAATGCGCTTAAAATTGTGATTTTTATTTTTTTATGTATTTGTAATGAATGAAGTAATAAAAAAAATCTTACCATCTTAAAACTACTTAATTAAATAGTAATAACTATAAAAATATTGGAAAGAGGATAGTTTTGTTTGCAATGAATAGGTTCTGAAACTGCTACTATAGATTTTAAAAAATCTTTCGCCTACGGAAAGTAACATCATACGCAGATGACATAGACTATAACTTACGCGGACAAACTCGCGATAAAACAGATAGTAGGTTATATTTAAAAAATGCGGCGAGAAATTCGCAATGTTCAAATTATCTACTTGTTTATATTTGTGAAAGATATAAGAATCTGTTGTTTTAAGCTTTCATGGTAATTTACATTAGAATTATAGTTTTTTTACAGAATTGCTACCATGTACTTTTTTATTGATTTCCCAATAAAAAAGTACATGGTAGCAATTCTGAGAATGTATGTTCTCAGAGAATGTTATCACAATGTATATTCGTGGACAAGAGAAGCGGCTTACATGCCGGGTATTCGATTTGTCATCAGCGTGGTCAATTGAATGAGGGCTTTGTCGAGGTAAACGGTCACTTATAGCGCTGCCTCCCAATTATCTTCACACAAAAAAACAATCATACCATAACGAGCCTCCGCTGCATTTTGTATGAAAAAGAAACAAAAGCTCACTTTTCTGTTTTTTAATGCACCGATGAAGATAAATCTGCGACCAGGTATTAAAATTAAATGAAAGGTCCAAAGGAAAGGTCTTATTTCGAGGTCAAGGTCACGCAGCTTACGTCTCTATAGAATTATCAGAGCAGTAGCACCATTAGTCTCGCAATGTTATTATTTGTTATATACTAACCTACTTCTTAAGACTCTTCTGGAGTTACAATTAAAAAGATAGTTGAGTTCCCACAACAAATAATAATTATTATGGTCATGACTTTCAATTAAATAAATACTATATTATGTAAATAAATAATTAGTAATTATTTCACATTTTTAATGGCTACTCGATAAAAATACTGATGGTGTGACATCACATTTATAATATGTCACCAGAGGCTCGCACGTGCGGCTTAAATCATTGCTGGACGATACTCTCATCCATAAAGAGCCGTTTGTTGTCCTAGAATATTTATTTATTTGTTATCCAGTAAATGTTGTAATAAAGATTTTCGTTTTCAGTGCATGTAGAATTCTAAGTAAAATAAACATGTCATAACA